AGAATCTTTTTACCAGCAAATTGGACTTAAATTTGAGGAAGAAACTAGTGAAATGCTACATTTGGAGCATAGCTCTGTATGGGGCTGAAACATGGACACTTAGGGCAGTAGATCAGAAACATCTGGAAAGTTTCGAAATGTGGTGTTGGAGAAGGATGGAGAAGATCAGTTGGACCGATTATGTGAGAAATGAAGAAGTGTTAATTAGAGTCAGTGAGCAGAGGAATATCCTACACGAAATAAGAAAACGGAAGGCTAATTGGATTGGTCATGTTTTACGCAGAAACTGCCTTCTAAAAGAAGTTATCGAAGGAAAGATAGAGGGGCGGATAGAAGTGACAAGAAGACGTAAGAAGATGCTGGATGAACTTGGGGACAGAAGAGGATACTGTCACTTGAAGGAGAAAGCTCTAGATCGCATTAAGTGGAGGAATTGTTTTGGAAGAGACTGTGGACCTGTCGTCTGACAGATTACTGATGATGATGAAAGATTTGCTCTAACAAGACTGTCGTAAATAATTACATCCAAACTTACACGACGCAATGCATACCATTTAAATGACTTAAATTGCACCAAGGATCAAACCGATCTCACCCATCTCACGGTTCATCCATTCCACAAGGGAATTGCAAGCGCTTAGAAGGCTTAGAAGAAAGTGCTCCATGAGTTCAACACAACGATGCTTGAATATATTCTCCGCGTTCACAGAAATCTGCACGGATATTCTTGCTATAAACTGGATCCTGCGGTGCTTCTATTTCGTGGTACTCGATTGCAAGGGCTGTCCAGACCGTCCAGACTATCGTTTTCGTCATTGTACATGACAATACAGGGATATTGCCATCAATTTCCTGTTTTTAATTACACTTGTGTTCTGATTTCTCCACTGATGTCCACACATAGAAGCAGTAGATACGGTAGTTACCGTGTTTCTCCTTCTCCTATGCCAGTTACTACCCCCTTCCGCGATCAACGCAGTGTCATCTTACGTCATGAACATGAACTATGCATTACTGGTACCTACCGGACCTACCGTATTGCGGCTGAGACATAATGTAAAAAAAAAAAACCCTGTCATGCGATGGTACAATAAACGATATAAATATTGTTTAGAAGATTCACAAATTTATACTGATTGCTCTAGCCATTTTACATTTACATTTATTTTCACTTCATGGATCCAATCATATCCCCGTAGGGCTGGATATAAAACATGTCACACATTACAAATTCATGATGACTACACATCATTCGTCCTTTGTCCAATAAAATATATATAATCAGGCCTCTCATAGATAGCTCAAATTGTCAGGACAACACACATGGGTCGTGGGAAAACCATTGTCAAATTAACTCCTTTCCATTCCACACACACTGGCAAGCCGTATCATTAAAACAGTTACATTATAAAATTCATAAAAAAAAACAGACATCATGCGTACTACTACACTTACAACAAGAAAGTCTCAACAATATATAATTCACGCACACAGACCATTTATTAACTTAACTTTTGATCCTCTTGCATGCTCGACAAATTCATCAAGAGTAAAAATACGTGACTTTGCAAATAATTTCGTAAAACAAACCTAAATTGCTTTTTATCATTTTTAGAACTGTGATATTTGACGGCAGAGTGTTAAATAGCTTTACACCTGAATAATACACCCCTCTCTGATAGGACGATAAATGTGTTGAAGGTATATGAAGGTGGTAATTCCTTCTGGTAAAAAGTAAAAAAGTAAAGCTATAACTGTAACAGGCCGTGAAAGCTCATAGGGTTGTGAGACGTTGAGGGTCCAACATTATCTAGACAATCGGCTCACAGATGGCGGTAAGGTTGTCAGCCTTACGCGCCGACCGCGCTTTACTCCCCACGAAAATTATTTAATTAATTCCCGTTAATTCCTGGTACTCACTTCTAATAGAGGCTGAGCCGACCCCAGGGCAATAGTGCTGCTGGANACAATACAGGGATATTGCCATCAATTTCCTGTTTTTAATTACACTTATTTTCTGATTATATTATTCCATATTTCACCAATGAATGACAATATGCATAATATACAGCTTCAAGACTATTTATATTTAATA